TTCAGTGCATTCTTTTCTTGGCTGTGAAGTGATGGCCATACTGGCTTCCCGCTCTTCACCTAACCATCCTTTAAGGGCTTTAACCTGAATTGCTAGTTGATGAATCTTGCAGTGATAATGGAAACTGGAGATTCAGAGGTGTTCTGCAAACAACTAGCAGAAACCTACAGTCTTCTTACTCCCTTCTTCCTTACTGAAAAGTTAAAAGCTAAACAAGCCTCAAGCTTAAATTCCAAGCTGGATTTTTCTCATCTGTTTTGATACAGTATTTCCGCGCCCCCCCCCCCCCCCATCAATTTTAAGAAACCTGAGCTCTAATGGGCTTGCAAGAATGACAAATTGCTTACAGGCAATCGAGAAACATAACTTGACCTACAAGATGAGGAAACCGTGCTTCACTCCCACTCCAGTTCATTAGACATCAGGACATATTCACTTCAAGTTCTGTCAAAGTACCTGGGAGAAGCTCTTTGTCTAGCCAAGAAAGGAATCAGTCTTTCTTCTGACAACATGTTCACAGAATCACAGAATCATTAAGGTTGGAAAAGACCTTTAAGATCATCAAGTCCAACCATCAACACAACACCACCATGCCCACTAAACCATGTCCCAAAGTGCCACGTCTACATGTTTTTTGAACATTTCCAGTGATGGTGACTCCACCAGCTCCCTGGGCAGCCTGTTCCAATGCTTGACCACTCTCTCAGTAAAGAAATTTTTCTTAATATCTAGTCCAAGCCTCCCCTGGTGCAAGTTGAGGCCATTTCCTCTCATTTTAGAGGAAGATTAATTCATTTATCTCTAATTTGCTACTAACCACCTCCCTCTTCATACTTAAGCAGGGATTTATATTGTTCTGTATATAAAAAAATCTTTCCATTTTCTTAACCTACTCAATGAGAGTTAAAAAAAAGCCCACCATAAAATATTTTTTGAGGTTTAAATATTTTTGCCAGGGAAAAACAGCAGCAGCTCCTGGCCCTGTGCTCCCTATGCACCACACTGAAGACCTGAATACCACCAGTGGTATCTACCCTAGTCTGGGAACTCCCATTCTCACTCACTGCTTTTTCCTTACTTAGTGCTGTTAACATAGGGCGTTGGTCCCATTAAACTCAATAAATACTCAACAAACGCTTTGAAAGGGGCCCCTTGCTTCATATATACTTGAACAGACACCCAAGTGAAATGGTTAACTGCAAATATGTGTTCTTTATACTTTTTTGTTACAGAGATGCAGTTAAAACGCAGAGACAGTTCAAACTCTGAGAGTAAACACTGCATTTTAAAGACCTAGTCTGCCTTTTGGAAATTTCCATTGACTTTAATCGAAAACAAACTAGTTACTAGTTTACACTGTCTAAGGTAAAAATTCTAACATGAGTGCTTTGTGTGAATTTGTATTTTCTTTTGCCAATTGGCAATGATTTATTCTTTAAAATACAGGATATACCCACCCCAGATATTATTGTAGTTCAACGTTGCAAGTGTACTGTAAAAGTGACTGCGTTCTTTACAAGGTTCAATCTCATCATGTGAATACAAACTATACTGTTTTACATTCCTAAGTAAATACATTCATAACCCCCTTAAAACAGTAACCACAGTAGTGCATTTTGTATGATGAATTTTGAGAAAGATTATTTTAGGACATATGCTTTCAAACAGCTGCGCCAGAAAGCAGGTGAAGTACAGGAGCCAGATGGTATCCATAAAGAGAAGGTACCACCACTTCACATCTTGTAATAAAGCTGAGGGCTGCACCCTAATGTGTTCATCGTCATCAGGCCTTGTTTATTTACCTTTCACAGCACCCAAGCTGCCTCTCAGCAAGTGCAAACCTACTTGACAAAGTAAAACAAAAAGATGTTCAGCTTCTCTTCAGATTTTAAATGGAGGAGTGTATGCATCTTTTTTTCTGGTGAAGACAGAATTTACTAATGAAACATCATAATGTTTGATTGTAGTACAGTGATACATAAATACCTATTACAGTCTAATTAAGCAGAAAAATTCCATTTTCGGCTCTACAGGGCAGATTTTAATCCAGCTTCCAGTGCTTTCGGTCTGTTACAGGGCAGATTTTAATCTAGCTTCCAGTACTTTCAGTCTGTTTGTACATACAACAGCGATATGTGAGTTGGTTAAGAAAATCTGGACTTTTAACAGAACACCTATTGCATGTATGTCTATAGTACATCATGCATACCTTGATTTATTCCTTTGTACAACAGCTTAACTGTAGGCATACAGTTCTGTCTAGAGGGCCGCAGCAGTCCCTCAGCACTGGAAGCTGTTAATCTGTGTTTTGCAAGCCTTCCTTTGCCTCCAGGCTGAGGTCTTACTGTATTTTCATTACTTATTAAAAATAGCTGGTATTATTGTCAAATTAGGGGGATTAACCTACTTTAAAAAGGAAATTAGGTCAGTTACTATATTCACACCCAGCCTTCAACTCTCACGTATTGTTACACGAGACAAATCTTGCATCCTACAAAATGGGCAGTTTCCTGTGGAAAATACAGATCTGTGTGCAGCAGTCTGCTTCATCCCACACTCAAACACAACAGTGACACAAACACAGTGGGGTAAAGGCCCCATCACTTGTTATTAACTCTCCGTGGATACAAACCTCGTGGCCAGAGAAGAAACACGACTTACTGCACGCTGTTAAGAGGTTCTCCGATAGCAGGTTGTTTGCAACAGTGAAGACAAATTGGGCTGTTACATACTTCTGATATTGGAAACACACCTAAAAATCAGACTCCAAAACAGTTTTTGAGATTATCTTCACCAAAGCACCTAGGAACACCCCTTCCAAACTACCTTACCTGAAAAAGAGATTTAGATGAAACAACCACTGAGAGAGGAATCCATTTGGCCAACCACCAAGCTACTAATCGTCTCTGACCAGAGATCAGGGAGGGAAGGGGTGACAGTACCCGACCTGCAGTAACAGGTCTTGATAGCTATTGTGGCATCTGAAACACCAGTAGAAAGAAGCAATTCTTCATGCTCTGTGCAACTGCCATTGTCTCAGGCTATATGCAAAATACAAGGCCCAGATGCTTATCTGCCATACAATGATGAGGAATGCAAGTGCTCACAAGACAAAAGGCTCAGCAGACCACATCTCCACTCATTCCATCCTTAGCTTTTTGAGTCCTCTTTTGCTCTTGGCCCCTTATTTTTTTCCACATTTAGGCAGGGGAGTGTGTTGTTCACCCCCAAGCAGAGCTCAAAAAACCTGCTTCTAACCAACCCCAACTCCCCGTGAGAGGTCTATGACAGAGCTCTTAAGTCTGCTGCTTTCAGAAAAACTTTTATTCTGCCTCCAATTTCCCCAAGCCAAGGAATCCTCATAATTGTGCTTCCCAGTAAAAGGACAAGATTGACCTCTAGATAATACACCAAGAGAAAGGCAGAGAGAAAATTACACCTCTGTGGCATTTCTCCGACAATTCTTTCTCTCCCAAACCAGGTCACAGTCACTCTCTCACTTTCACACTGATGCAGGAAATTCAACATGTATGGAAAAAATACTGAAGTTACATGTAATTTAGACAGCTAGCTAACTGCACCTAGGAAAAATAACAAAGTTAACCATATGCTTTTTCTCTTTCCTCTCAGCTTCAAGGTGATCTACAACAAAGAGACTGCAATTTAGATTGCGATTTTTTCATATTAATTACACTGCAGAAAAGGAGAGAGAGGAAAGAAAGTAGGATGAATCCAGACTGTACAGGCATTCCTTTCACTAGCATAGTGAGCTGCCACAGTTCAATCTTTAGCATTCCTTGGTATCCACTTCTCCTTTCCATGCCTACCCTCATGCATAGATACTGCTGAGAAAAGCTAAATCACCAGGAAGCCTAAGATTACTCAAGGATCATGAGAGCTGCTGTAGAACTGCCCCCACAAAAGACCATACAGAAAAGCCTCAGGAATCCTCTAAGCACCCTCATGATTCCTTACTATAGTACTTTTTAGCAGATGACAGGAAGAAAACTCTTCTGTGGTTTTTTTTTTTTTCCTTTTAAAAAAAGTGTCCAGAAAAGGCAAAGAATGAAGCAGCATTTAGCACATACAGACCCTCCCATCCCCTTGGGTTAGCTTAAAAGCAGGTGTCTAGGCTACATTAAACAGCATTCATTAGTCTCTCTTCTCCATCTTCTTTAAGCAATGCATGGAATACGCAGGCAAATGAACATTGCCGGGGCGTCCCTATGAATCCCACCAAGCTGGGACTGACAATGTTCAGCTAAAACTTTTTCTTTTCCTGTTTTCAAGGATCATCTCCACACAAGAGCCAACTGAATATCCCTTAGCTGTGAAGCAGATCTGGATTTTGTAACATGATGTTGTTGCCTCAACATTCCCCAAAAGAAATGCACAGGCTCAAAGAAAAAATCGGTGACAGTAGTGGTATGCAACATGCAGATCAAAATACCATTTATCACTTCTACAGCACGTGATGGGTCAGCAGGTGTTTTTTCTGTGTTAACACCACAAAGCACAACAAAGCAGCAGAAGCATGTTCCAAAGACATATATAACCCAAATCAGCTAACACAGGTAAATGAAATGACAGAGATGCCAGCTGCAGGATGGACAACCCAAGAATAAGATCTCTGCAACATCTTTACTTTTTTCTGAATCATTACAGGTCAAGCAGAATCACATCTTCATTGTGTAATAAACACTCATTTTGCATTGTTAAATGTCACTCCTCAGAGTTAACAGCTTCAAGAACCAGGGATAATCTTGCACCTGAATTAAATAGACACCGCCACAACAACTTCTTGTTTTGTAGCAACATAATATACCTCCGGCATTTTCCTCATCGATCAGAACATATTGCAGATGAACACTGTAAGCAACGAACTTGGAAAAGTTGGCACCCCTCCCCGCCAGTCTCTGCATGGTTAGGTGGGCAGGATGTTCAGCTCCTCCCCTACACAAGCAAGGAATGACATTTTGCAGAGTTAGTATGTTCTTTACCTTGTAGCAAACATTGCTCTCAGGGAAGAGAAGGTAGCAGCATCTTCTTTCAAAGCCTTCAGCTCATTCCGCAGCTTCATCATTGTCTCTGTAACCATAGCTTTTTCATTTTCATACTTGCTTTTTAAGTTGGCAAGGGCTACCTCTGCCGTCTATTGTTTACCAAGAAGAACAGAGAAACGTACTAGTTAATGAAACTCTTCACAAAGTGGCTGGCTAAGAGATTTCTAACCACTATTCACATAATGACACATTTACTTTGTACTGTAATGTTAAACTTCTGGTCAACTTTTCTTGTACAAATTAAGCAAAATTTCATTTTTGAACACTGGAAACATATTGGACATATGGATCTCCTACTCCCATTAACCACGCAGCAGCACCTAGGAAGCTACAGAATATACATTTAGCTACAGCTATCTCCAACTACTAAAAGAAATTAAACTTTACATACTTCAACACAAAGAACAAAGAAGTCTATTTAGTATCTCTATACTTAAAAGCATCTACTGCACTGCTAACGTGTATCAAATGGCACAGCCCAATCCCCAAGGACTAATTTTACAGTTCACCCCTGTTACTTAGACCATGTTCTTATACCACACCCTCATCTTGGAAGGCTTTCTTTTATTTTGCAATTTAGGAGAGAAGAGTACATAAGTTTAAGAACTCTACAATTCTTGCAAGTAGGAAATAAGATTTACCTCTTCATTTTAGGTGTCTTACGTTAAATATAATGTGATATAATTCAGACAGGCGGTAGATTGAAGCTACCTTAAGCTTCATAAAAAGTCTCATGAGCATGTGACCAGCAAAAGTCAGTTAAAGACCCAGCGCTCAGCTTTGCAGTAGGACAGCTGTGTGCCTCTAACGAAACAACCTGCTTCAGCCTTGTACCACAAGTAACAGCAAGAAAAGCCCCACTGAGTTGAGGGTATGGCAGTATGACCTCAAAGATAAATTGTCTTGTGTTTATGACCTAATTCCCTGACACTATAACCTTCATATCTGTAAGACCTGGTTACCTGTTTGTTGGCCTTCAGCACAGTTCTCAGCGTTGCTATCTGTTCTCTCTTGGTGCTCAGCAGGGACTTCAACTTCAGAATTTCTTCCATGAGAGCTTCCTTGTCTTTGTCCACCACTGGCCCAAGTTCTTGAGTGGCAACACGCTGCCTGGACAACTCTGTTGTTCTGTCCACAGCAGCTTGCAGGTGTTTGATCTGATCCCGGATTATAGCGATCAAGTTGTAAATGTTCATTGGTTCCTTCCGAGGATCTGACACAGGAGATGGCAGAGATGACACTGGAGATGGGCTGCTGTCACCGCTTCCATTCTCTCCCTTTCCTAGCTCTATAGTTAACAGCCCTTTAGAAAGAAGAATGGGAGACCTTCTTCCCTTGGTCTCTGGACTACTGCGTCCACCTTTACCTTCCTTATAGTAATCCAGCATCACTCTGTTTGGAGTTTCATTGTTGCACATGCAGACATGGTGGTATAAATTGGCCAGTTCTTCACTGAAGGTGACCAGTTCATCTTGGGCCACACTGAGGCTGCCCTGTGTTTCTCCAGCAACATCACTGACTTTCTTCAGCTCCTTCTCCAGTCTGGCCACCTGTTCTCTATCATGCCTACTGGATTTTTCTAATGAGGTGATCTTTTCAGTGAGAGCTTGGCTCTCAGTCTCATATCTGCTCTTCTCTTCCTCATACTTAGACTCACATTCTTTGTATTTGGCCTTAAGATTTTTAAGCTCTTCTTTTAGGTCAGTAATCTCTGCCATAGCCACTTTGTATTTGCACTCTAGGATCTCTGGCCCATTGATGTCAACTTCGTAATAGTCTCCATCTTCATGGCTGTCTCGGTCCTTCTCATTGTCAAGAGCAGACTGACGTTCCTTGCTGACCTGGAGCTTCTTCATTGCATTCAGATTTTCTGTGAGTCTGCCAACTTTCTCATGCTGCTCTGAGAGGGCTCCCCGCGTATTTTCCAGCTGCTTCTGAGATTCCTGTAGTGTTGTCAACAAGTTCACCTTTTCTCTTTCCATCTGAAATACATGAACACAGACATCTATGTAAAGGAAACTGTATCACTTCAATGGTTTTATTATAAGAGATGGCAACTTAGCTAAGGTCCATATGGTTACAGAAATCCGATCACTTGCACGTTATGGAAAAGGCTATTTAACTTATTCTAAAACTACCTCAAGCAGTGTTCCTTGCCAATTCCTTCTCATTTCCACTCCAAAATGCACGTTTTCACACACTACTTCCATAGCTGATGGTCTCATTATAAAAACATCCTTTCAGCTGAAGATAAGCTAAAGTGTACTGTTATCTTGTAAATTATCAAGTAAATACTAGAAAACATGCAGCTAGTCTATGGTGGAAGCTTGGAACTTCATGAATAACTCAGAAATACTGAAACTTCTGAAGTTTCTCCTCTGAAAGTTCCCATTTTGAAAAAATCCAGCCACTTTTTCCACAAAGGCTTTTTCTTACAGAACACATGGAAAAAATGCTTGACAATTTAAAACATTTCTAGGCAACATAAATACGTACCTTGTTTCAAACTCTCCAACCTCCCAATAACACAAATGTAACACAGAAATGCTTGGTACTGATTAAAACTTCATGTTCTTCAAACCAATTACAGAAAATAGCTATGGTGTACAAAACTCATTTTCATTAAGATGAATGGAGTAACTATCAATTTTTGAACAAAATACCATCTTTCTTGTTAGTGACATAATGAAGTAGATACAGCATGTACTGCACAGAAGATGCATTACAACTTTCCTCCAAACATAGGACATGACTGCTAGTTTCTTTGCATCAGAAACTTTATAGTTCATAAATATATAAATAATATAATACACAGTTCATACTGTATGGTGGCCATGTGAGATATTGAAAAGACGGAAATTACAACCTAAATAAACTCTAGCAGCTATTTGGAAGTACACAGTTGTTTAGGAAACCCATTTACCTGTACAAGCTGTTGTTTCAGCTTCTGGATTTCAGAAATGTTTAATTCACTTAGAAGATCTGAAACCAGACTTGGGGCTGGCAGGAAGCTTTCATTTTTCTTGGGTGTTGATGTACTATTCTTGCCATTGCTGAGTTTGCTGAGGCAGTTTTGTTCAAATCCATTCATGATTTCATCATTATTGGGCTCTGTGGCTTCATCACTGAACTTCAGTCCATCCAAAGAGATGTTCAGGTGGCTGTTGTACATGGAGTCATTGATGTTCATGTAGTGAGAAAGCTCCTTTCGAAGATTGTTCTTCTGCTCTCGCTCTGTCTTCAGTGTCTCTAATGCCTCCTCAAGCTGCCGTTCAGAGATCTCCTTTAGCCGTATGGCATCTTCTAGCTGGCTGTTGAGAAATTCTGTTTCCTCTTCAAGCCTTTTGATTTCATGTTTCAGGCCTTCAAACTCCACCTGGAGATATACAAATGGAAGGGAAAAAAACTCCTAATGAAAATGCCTGCCTGCAACGCACCAAGTAATTTTATTTTTGAATGTTTGATTTCACTAAATAAAGTGAGAACAGAACAATTTTTTCAGGTCTAGAGTCTAGGTTTGGCACTATGACTGTAAACACTGCTTAGATAATTTACCATCACAGAGACCATGGAATAAAATTTCTGAGCGAACTGTTGAATGAGCTGACCTATTTCAGCTTAATTAAGACAGGTGGGAGATGAGGTGTGTGATACAGAGGCATCACAAAACAGGCTTTCCTAGCTCATGACGCAAACTCTTTCTCTATCTATCTGATTAAAAAATTCCATGGCCAACCTTCCCACAAATTCGAGCTCAACATTTCCAAACCCCAGCATCGCAAAGCTATGCTTCTGACACTCTGCTGCACTGCTGTTAGAATATGCCACTTGGCTTAAAACTGTTGGGATGCACCTAGCAATCAAAGTCTGCTTTTATACGTTAAAAATAAAATGTTTTATCATTTCTGTCATCATCATTTCAGCACATCTTGAGACTGCCACAATTCAAACTTTACACTTCAGACTCACAGAGCTAAGTCTTTACCTGTAAAATTGCATTTATTTTTAAACCTCTCTTGCACTGAAATTATGAGCACCAACCATTAGTGTATTTTGAATCCCGGGGTGGACGGACGGGGGGACGGACACAGATGACAAACAACACCAAACAAAATAAACAAACAAACTAAAGAATACCTTTTCCTTACCTTGAAAGAAAGGAAAACATACCACATGATATATGACCCTATTTATTTTTGCCAACCGCTAAAGGAATTTTAGATGCCAACATATACCAATCTGGTAGTGCTGAACAACGCCTGTTTTAAAAACCAGGAACCAATCACGTCAATTCATATTTGCAAGTTAAGCCTGGGAAAACTTGATGGCTTCTTCTAGTTATGTCAGTGGGATAATTAAAGCTTAATAAAATTCATCAAGTGGGATTAGGACAAGGCAGAAAACAAAATAATCCATTGCCATGAAAAGAGTTAGCTCTTGGTTCTATACATGTCCACTGAGCTCAAACGTTTAAGATTGCAGTCTATTTTCAAAGGTTCCAGAATACAAACACAGTAGTCAGTAATTACTAGCAACTGACAAGATAGAATCTGAGGTTAAACTTGTCTCAGCCCAGAATGACAGCATTCTTGAATATTGTTATTTTAGAATGTGAACATGGAGCTGGGAACTTGCACTTGGTCCTCGGAATACAATGAATGAGACAAAAAATAAGGTAAAAAACAAAAGTAACCAGCTACATAGGTTGGATTTTACCAGACCACTATCTCTTCCAGTCTGCATTTAGAGTGTAATAGCCCCTTCATCCCTACTGCATGATGTCAGGGCACCCAAAACAGAGTAACCAGACCAAATATATTCAGGTGAGAACAGGCCCAAGTTGGAACACCCGTTTGGGCACATGAATGAGGCCAAAGTGATAAACATTAACATGGAGTTTCACCTGGAGATAAATGAAATACATTCAATATCCCAAATACCTCAGTCAGTAGAGCAGCTTTCATGCAGAACACTGAAGGAGATCCGAAGCAAATCCTAGTAAGCTTTTTCTATGTGCTCACTACAGCAGATGGTATTAACACTACTGTTTTCTTGAAGAACTTTTATTTCAGGAATATTATACCATTTTCTCAATTGAACCTTGAGTTTTATTTATACAATGAGACTGACAGGTACCTGAAGAATAAAAATAGCAAGTCCCCAGTTGACACATGAAGGTAAGTGAACCAGGCCAAAGACCACATCTAATCTAATTACCTCTGCAAATGATAACTCAGGGAAATTATTGAGCTGTTCCAAAAATGCAGTTTTCTAAAATTCTGAAAATAGCCAGACCTGTGCAATTACTTTTCTAATGAGCAGTCACACAGGTCTGAGAGTATAGAGCTACTATAACAGTAGTCCATGTTTAATGAAAGTAGTTAGAAGAGCGGAGGAGTACAGAACTGGAGAGATAATGTAAACACTAAGTAGCAGTAAAAACATACGTTCAGCAACAGACCAGTTACAGATACTGTTGAAGAGGACAGATGGATAGTATTGCAAAGAGACACTAAAAAACTAGTGTAGCAAAAAGACTAAACCAAGTAACAAAGCAGACTAGGAGAGACTTCACGTCCATCAGAGAGAGAGAAGGCAATGGAAGGACTTGGAGGTCAAAAGTAGAAGCAATAAAGTCTTACGACTGTGTATAAACAGAGTCAGAAAGCACTTAAACATTTTGGGACAACTCTTGGTACTAAAAGATAGAGCTTATAGTCTCAAAAGCAGTACAAGCATAGAAAAGAAATGAGACAGAACCATGCTGTAACACAGGAATTAACTGTGCTATGCTCACTATTTTGAAAAACTTGCCTGATTTTGCTTCAGGACGGACACTTGTTTCTGGAGGCAGATGTTTTCCTCTTCAAGCTCAGTGTAGTCTTGCAGCAAACGTGCTTCTCGGAATTTATATTCCTTAATATCATCTCGCAGACGGGCCCTTTGGATCTCCACATTCTGATTGACCTGGCAAAACAAAAAAACCCCAAAATAATGGTGACTTGGTCAGCTACAATTAAGTTTCAAAATTTTATCCTCCCTTATGTGCACTAATCAATTAGATTTTATTCAAACAGAAACTCTCCCCCCTAAATTACAGAAAACCGAGTCATTTACACAATAGTTAGATTTTGTTTTCTTGCTTCTCTTACAAATTCTCACCCTTGACTCAAAGAAAAGTTAACGAGCAAGCAGGGAAAGCAGCATTCACACCTATGTTGTCTCACCGGCTGTAAGCAAGAGACAAACGTTTTCCAGATCAGAAGTCAATGCCTGAATCTGTCAAACAAGAAGGGCCTTTTCACAAGAGAAAGACAGATTTAGATGACTCCAGACCTTTTCTTTATGCCCTTTTCTTTACGCCCAGTGAAATATGTTCTAATGAATCCTTCTGGAGAGAGACACTGAGTTAAAGCTCAAATGAAATCCAAGATCCCAGGTAAAAAGAGGTAGCAACTGTAGCTGACTTGTAAAATGTGCCTGCCCCTCAGCCCCAAGACTTTAAAACAAACAAACAAACAAACAAACCCCAAAAACCCAATCACCATTATTGTTTCAGGATAAGTAAGAAGTAGAAATCAATATATTGGAGAAGCATGATCTTTAGATCTATCATAAATATACACAGACACTTAAATAAATTGAGCTAGCACATACCCAGCTATGTGAATGGCTCACTGTACTTGGTTCTGTTTTTTTCCAAAATTATTTTCCTTCAAGCCACATCTTTAAATACTTAATTGAAACAAAGTGAAAAATATGTTCCAAAACATTAGCAGAAATATCTTCAGAGAGAGGCAAATAAGCAATATAGTTCCCTATAAAAATAGTATCCAGATATTTTAGCAGCCATACCTGTGAAGTGACAGGATGGTTTTCCAAACAGTTCTGAATCGGCTCAAAACAAACGCAAGCTCATGAACTAGGCAGCCTATCAACTCAAGTAGTTAGGTTATGCTATCTTATTTCTGTTTCCATCTATCCAGCAGCCCAGCCAAGAAAGCTTCATCCTCTGGTATAAAAACTCAGATTCCCTTAGTGTTCTCCATTTCTGGTTAGAAACAAGAATGTCAGCAATGAATAAAATATGGTCTGAGTCCTCTTGTAAGCGTGCAGC